TCCTCCTCCTCCTCCTCCTCCTCCTCCTCCTCCTCCTCATACTTTCCGCCTCACATACCATGGGCGTCAAGCAAAAGACAAAGTGGGGCTCGTATCAGGGCACTGCTTCGAAACTGGTCATAGGCTTGGACATTGGCACGACTTACAGCGGTGCTGCCTACGCTTTCCTCCGACCTGGAGAAGAGCCAAAAGTGGTCAATGTATGCAAATTCCCGAGGCAGCGACCGGGCGAAGGCTCCAAGGTCCCATCCGGTGAGGACGCGCTGCGCTCTCTCTCGGGCGGTCAGTGCACGTGCTTCATCGCTCACGGTCCTTTATTGCACTCTCTCCTGCAGTCCTCTTGTACTCGCACGATGGGCATTGCCTCGCTGTGGGTAGCGAAGTGGCCGAAATGGAGGCGGTCAGCGCAGGTCCGACTGGCAGCAAGCTGCACAAGGCAGAGTGGTGGAAGCTGGCCCTCTGTCGAGATGATCACCAATCACGCATCAAGGTGCAAGGCGCTACCAAAGACTCGGCCTTTCGCTACGACAAGGTGCAGCAGATCCGTCTGCCGCCTGGCAAGAGCGCAAAAGATTGCTACGTCGACTTTATAAAGTGGATGATGCGCTGCGTCGAGTCGTACATCAGGGACAATATCGCCTCTGGTGAAGCGCTCCTCAAAGAGACTAGCGCTTCGCGTGTGATCGTCTGTGCCCATCCGAATGGCTGGGAAGGCTCGCAGCAAGAAGCTCTTAGGAGATGCTTTGTCGATGCTGGTGTCGTCGCTTCCGACAGGGCCAAGGCGCAGATTCGCATGGTGACGGAAGCCGAGTGCTCCTTGACCTATGCTCTCATGTCCCAGTCCATGGCCAGCTGGACAGAGGTGAGGGGTGTGTCGAGGCAGCGCACTCCATGTACGCAGCGCAGCAATTGACACTCTTCCTTGCACTTCTCCTTGCAGTGCGGATCGCAAATCGTCATTGCGGACTGTGGAGGTGGCACGGTGGATATCAGCGCATATGCCGTCCAAGCTGTGGAGCCGATTCTCTCCGTGCGAGAAGCCGCCATCTCTCAATGTGCGTATCTCGATTTAGTGCAGTGCCCTGTGTAGGCGTACAACTCATCGTGACTCGACGCCTGACTCCAGGTCTTGTGGCAGGTGCGACTCTGGTCGATGAGCGTGTGGCCCAGCACGTCAGAGGTGAGCGAATGCAGATCTTTACCACGGTCACTGCGCCTGCTCACGTCGCGCCTCTCTTCCAGCGCGCCTTCAAGGCACCAAGTACGGCGACCCTGAAGACGTTGCCAAGATCACGCAAGACATCATCAAGACGATGAAAGAGTCGTTTACAAACGAGCGCACCCCCGTGTACGTTCGTGTAGGAGGTCCCATGGATGTGGATGAACCTCTGAGCGTCATCAAGGGCCAGCTCGTCATACCGGGACAGACCATCAGCGGATTTTATCAGCCCTCGATCGAAGCGACTGCTGCTGCCATCAGAGAATCGATCGCCTCTCTGCCCGCTTCGAGACACGCACGAGTGGCTCTTGTTGGCGGCTTTGCCGAATCGACGTTCTTTAGGGATCAGCTCAGAGCGCGATTGGGAGGCCAGGTGTCCGTCGCGAAGCCCGACAGCTCGGCGTGAGTGCTCGAGTACATTGCAGCTCAAGCGTTGCTTTTTTCTGATTGTTTGATTCCGCGCAGCACCAAGGCCGTGGCGCATGGTGCCGTTGCGTGGGCCATCGAAGGGGCGGTCAAGTCGCGACGGTCAAAGATGGCGTACGGGGTGCGCGTGTCGGTGCCTTTTGACAAGACCAATGCAGAGCATGCCGAGCGATCTGGACGCATCTTCATAGGCGCCGACTCGCGGCCCAGACTTCCGCACGCTTTCCAAACGCTTCTCAGCAAGGTGAGTAGCAGCTCAACACCGTCCTCATGCTTTACACCGTCCTCATACCTTGCTCGTCTTGATGCCATTGTCGACGCGTCTACAGGAAGCAGAGCAAGGATCTGAAGAGGATGTGGAGTACACCTTTGGCCTCACCAAAGGCGTCGACGAGCCCTTGACGGGTGCATTCGACTTGCTCTGCTACCGCGCAGACGGCACGCCCCCAGCCTTTATCGATGACGATGACGACCGTTTGTGAGTGCTGCAACGCCGAGAAGCACGGATGACGGCCTGACGTGATTTTGCGGATGTTTGCAGCGACACTCTTTGCAGGCTAGACGTCGATCTCGAGCGTATCAGCAAAGCCTTGGACGTGCAGACCACTGGCAACGGTCTCAAGTATCGTTCGGTCAAGTTTGTCGTCAAGCTCAGTCTTGGTGCCACGGAGCTGCAAGCGCAATGGGTGCACAGCGGTATCTGCGAGGTCACTGGCGACGCCGCCGTCGTCTTTCTCGAGGATCTGGATCATTTCCGCAAGCCCGCCGAGCCGATGATTGCGGCACCAGAACAACAGGTCGACTCGGGCGCTCTGCTGCTGGACCTCCATCGCGAGCCGGCACAAAGTCGTCCCGTGCACGCGCCTGTGCACGCGCCTGTGCACGCGCCTGTGCACGCGCCTGTGCACGCGCCTGCGGTTGATGCGGCTCGGCCGATGCCGTACCATTATCCTCGGACAGATGCCGGTCCGAGGATGCCGAGCCCTGTGCCCTCGATTAGCGGAAGCAGCATCTCTCGCATAGCGCTGTCAGATGGGGCGCACTCTGCTCAAGAGGAGGAGATTCTCTCCCAAAAAGCGCGCATCGCAGACCTCGAAAGTCAGTTGCGTTCCTTGAAGGCTGGCGATGCACCTCGACGCTCTAGACCCACAAGCTCGAGCGCTGCATACTCGACACCACCTTTGTCGGCAGCATCGGATGGTTTCGCCGACATCCACGGCGCCGCATCGCCCTCGACTCTCCCGACTAGGCAGCAGCAGCCTGCTCATCCATTTTTTGGAGCCCTTGCCGCTCAGCAGCGTCGCTCGATCATGCAAACGGTGGACGCACCTCTTTCCCCTCCTTCAGATTGGGACCAATCTCCACGTTCTGCGGATCGCAGCGTCACCAGAAACACTCGTGGGAACGCATTGGAACGTCTCGATGCCGCACCAGAGCACCAGGGTGAACATCACCACATGCGTACTCGGCGTCATCACCATTTGCGCGTGGACGATATCGATGACTGGCAACGTCGGGCACAGAGACTGGGGCCCGAAAGCCCTGGTTCAAGTCGTGGACCTCTTGCGTTTGATGCGCGGGAACAGCTCGAAGAGCTTTTGCGCAAGAACAGCTCGCTGGACTCGCGCTCCCGCTCCCGCTCCCGCTCCCGTTCCCGCTCGCGCACACCATCTCCTCTTGTCAGACCACAAGCGCGCCGCCCGCACGTTATGCGAGGCGATTGGTCTGCAGCACAAGCGGCGCTCACCGCGCCCGAATCCAGTGCCTCGGCCGAGCAACGCGGGCACACGAGGCTGCAGGCCAAGTATTCGGATCGCGCGCCGGAAACTTTTGTTGATGAGTTGGGCATCACGCGGACCAAGATCCCGCACGGATACTGTGCACCGGCCTGGAAAGTCCATCGAACGCTGGAGCGACTCGAGATGCTGAGGTTCGGAGACGAGTTCATCTCGGCAAAAGAGGCGCGGCGATGCGAGCAAGACCTCGAGAGGCAGCTATACGTCGACGTGGCGCGTTGGAATCAACAACAAGCTCAGTCATTCGCCGCACACGCGAGTGCTGGCACGCACGCGGACAGCGATGTGGATTATGGACGGCTTCATCTCGAGCGATATGCTCGAGAGCTAGAAGAGCAAGAGCGCCGCCAGCAAAAGCTGGAAAGGGTGACACCTGATGCATTGCGGCGAGAGTTCAGCGGCCAGGACGTGGCGCTTCCTCAGCGTCTCAGGTCAGAGCTCCGGCAGCATCAAGACTTGACCAGACTGGCAGGGCGCAAGCACGCTGAAGGTTCGGCGCAGATGTTCACAAGTTCCGTCTTATCACCAACAGAGGGGCATCCGACAGCCTTGCACGACAGTCCGATAGATAACGCAGACGACACGAGGCGGCCCTTTCGCGGGCGCACGCACCTCCCCCAAAGACAAGAGACTGCCCCTCCCCCATACCCCGACTTTTTCTCCCACACGCACGAAGCGTGAGACAGCAAACAAGCATGAGCGATGTAAGACGTTGGCTGACGCTTGGGTTGGCGCATCCTGAAATTCAACACTTTTGCGGTCTCGTGCATGTAGAGCATGCATGCAGCTTTGCCACCAAGAACGCAAAGTCTGTATGCGCGTCTTGGCAAGATGCGGGTGCATCTCTCGTGACCCACACTTTCCCAGCGATCGTCATCACGCAGCAAATCACGCACGCGCCGGTGGATTCGCACTCCAAGGTTTGGCATCGACATGATATTCAACAAGCATCGTGCGATGTCGTTCTTGACTTTGTCCCAGCTCTCGCAATGATCTGCGATTGCTGCATGCCGTGCCCTGACCCTCCCAGTCTGCGCTCACTCGCAATTGTAGTAAGCATCGCAGCACCACGTGGATCTTCGCGCATTTTTACCCGACGGGCATTGAGGTGGTGCATTCGTTCGGATTTCAGATCTTTGCCCTTGCAGTCGCAAGTAGCTTGCGGTCCTGGGCCCTGCTCCAGGGGAGTCGTGATAAGCCGGGCTTCGAGTGCTGGAGCTTGACGTTCTTCAAGAGACTGTGGCCGAGCTGACGGTGCATCCTCGGGAACCTTGACGAGCCGCGCTTCGAGTGCAGGAGCTTGACCTTCTTGACGGGTCTCTTGCGCGACCGCACGTGCCTTGGGAGGCGGGCAGCGCACGTAGACCTTGCAGCAGATGATGCCCGATAGTGCCCTGCTGCCGTCGGCACATTTGGGAAGTTGGTCTACCGGCGGCGTAGAGATGGTCATGCCCTTGCACGAGCAGTCGCGGCTCATGAGGGGGCCATAGGCATAAGAGGCATCGGTGTCCCCGAGAGGCATGCCGAGCGAGAAGGAGGCGAGGGCCGAAAAGGCAAACAAGAACAAGAGGATGGGCTGCATCGTTGTAGGGATGGGGACGTGGAGGGGGATGAAGAGAGAGATCCAACCTGCGAAGGTGGGGAGAAGAGGCGCGCAGAGGTCAGGAGGCTGTCTACAAGGTCAGCGCACTCGTTCCTCTCTCACCAGTGGATGTGTTATGAAGCAGAGTGGAGGGTCGATGAGCGCTGATGCTGCAAGCTTTGGGGGAAACCGGTTCCGTGAGGGAGAGAGGAGGAGACGAAGATGAGCTCGTAGTGGCCGCTACTTGTACTTTCGCGGCCACATTCATTGCGCGCTGCTTCGTAAGCTGGCATGTCAGCATCCGCTCACACGCTCACACGCTCACAATCGCGGCTCTGACTGGTCTCTTCATGATTTGCGCCTCTCCAACTTGCGCTCCTTGACATCGATGGATGCAGCCACCTTCACCCTTTCAATCGTCGTCGACGCCACCCATTCATGCACGAGAGCGCCAAGAAGACGCGCGCGGAGCAGGACGGCGCGCCCCGCGCGATCATCGGACATTTGTACCTGCGCCCTCGGACATTCCAGTCAGAGTGATATTGGTGCGAGCGCGCGCAAGACGACACGGAGCAGCAGCCTAGGACGGCGATTTGCGGGCGGGGGCTTTTGGGTGCGGATTGACGATCGGACATATGCATGCGCGCGCGTTCGTATCTCTGGCATGCATGCATGCGCCCTCGGATGTTGGTACAACAAGCGTGCGCCCCGCCCTCCTCCCTCTTGGCAGCGCGTCGTCTTGCTCCCTCATTCGCGATGCTTGCTCCTACTCGGCACCCGCTCTCAAGCTAGCCGTATTGGCGTCTAGCTTCAATGAGACGCCCATCAGCTGGCGCAAGGATGTGTGAATCCAGCCTCGAACGTCAAATCGCCTCGCGCGGGCGCTTGGGCAAAAGGAAGTTGAGAAGCCAAAGTCTGTAGTCGACAATCGTGAACGGATGCTTTGCAGTCGTCGTTGCAAGAGTCGTATCACCAGCATCAGTATTGGGTGCACTCTATCGCATCTCTGGTAGACTTGCGCTGGCCTAGACAAGGCGGGGCACGCAGGCTCGACTCGTCTCCAACACGTTGCCGCACAGCGCAAATCGGGGGGAGATCAAGTGTCCTGCACGGATCGTCATGGGAGAGCACACTCACGATTGCTGGGCGCCTTGCTGGCTAACAAAGACGTGCAAACGCGCACGATCCTCCCTCCGAGCATCTGATGGGGCGTGCAAGAACGCGTTTCGAGAGGGTGCACCTACGACTGTCAAACTTCCTCGAGCGGGACGGGCATGCCGTGGCGGGCCACGACGCTCCATCTCTTGACCATCGTTGTGTACACGTCGGCGCTTGCACGTGCTCGTCACACAACGCCTCTTGATTTGGCCATCTCTTTCATCCTCGTAGAGGGAGGTCATTCGTGGACACATGTGCGACACTTTCTTCTTTCAACTCCACTGTCCGCGCGCATGTCGACAATCAAATAATTGTCTTTTTCGCGTGCGGACCCATGCGTCCACTCGCGCAGCACGCATGCAGACAGCTTTCGAGTCATCCGCGACGACTATCACAATGAGCATGGTGTTCGTGAAGCAAAAGAGATGCATGTAAAGTGAGGTGTTGACATGGCACGCGCGCAAAGCGACAGCATCTCTCCATCTTTGACGCAACGCTCTGTCCGCGGCGGCTGCTGGTACAAAGCGTCCTGCACGCAAAAGCGTTTCTGCGCGCAGGCGAAAAGCGTACCCGCGCGCGAGCGAAAGAGTCCAGCGCGGCAGAAAAGCGTACCCCGCGCGCGAGAAGAGCGTACCTGTGCGCGCGCCAAAGCGTCCAGAAAAGCGTACTTGCGCGCGAGCAAAAGCGTACCGCGCGCTCAAAAAGCGTACTCGCATCCCGAAAAGCGTACCAGCGCACGGCCAAAAGCGTACCCGCGGCAAAAAAGCGTATACCTGCGCGCGCTCAAAAAGCGTACCTGCGCTCAAAAGCGTACCTGCGCGCGCGAGGAAAAGCGTACCCCGCGTGCGAGAAAAGCGTACCAGCGCGAAAAAGCGTACTTGCTGCATCCAGAAAAGCGTACCTGATGCACGCATGCATCCAGAAAAGCGTACCCGCGCGCGCGAGTAAAAGCGTACTCCGCGCGCGCGAAAAGCGTACTGGCGCGTCGGAAAAGCGTACCCGCGCAAAAAAGCGTACCTGCGCGAGGAAAGCGTGCCAGCGCAGGTGCAAAAGCGTACAGCGCGCGAGCAAAAAGCGTACTTCCGTGCGCGCGCCAGAAAAGCGTACTCGCGCGCGGGAAAAGCGTACTCGCGCGCTCAAAAAGCGTACTCGCGGGCGCGGAAAGCGTACTTTGCGCGCGAGAAAAGCGTACCTGCGCGCTAAAAGCGTACTTCGCGCGCGCGCCAGAAAAGCGTACCTGCGCGTAAAAGCGTACCCGCGCGCACCCAGAAAAGCGTACAGCGCGCGGCCAAAAAGCGTACCAGCGCCCGGCCGCGCGAGCAAAAGCGTACTCGCGCGCTTAAAAAGCGTATTGCGCGCTCAAAAGCGTACCGCGCGCCCAAAAAGCGTACCCGCGCGCCCGAGCAAAAGCGTACCTGCACACAAAAGCGTACCAGCGCCGCGCGCCAAAAGCGTACTTCGCGCGCGCGCGAGGAAAAGCGTACTCGCGCGCGAGAAAAGCGTACCAGCGCGAGAAAAGCGTACTCGCGCGCGAGCAAAAGCGTACTTGCATCCAGCAAAAGCGTACCGCGCGCGCGCCGCGCTGCCAAAAGCGTACTTGCGCGCGGCCAAAAAGCGTACTTTGCGCGCAACTAAAAAGCGTACCTGCGCGCTCAAAAAGCGTACTCGCGGGCGCGAAAGGCGTACTTGCATCCAGAAAAGCGTACTCGCGCTCAAAAGCGTACCTGCTGCGCGCGCGGTCCAGCAAGCGGGCAAGCATCCAAGAGACCGTCTAGCGCGCGGCCAAACAGGGTCTTGCAACAACAGAACTGTCCAGCGCTGCAGGTGACCGTCTTGCGCCCTTGCGCCAAGACGTGCCAGAGTAGCACCTAGTGCAGGCGCAAAACCGTTCTGCGCCCAGACAAGAAGACCGTCTAGCGCGCCAAAAGCGTCCAGACACAAGCGTCCAGCAAAAAACCCCGTCTTGGATGCGCCCAGTTGCCTATAGAGATGCGCGCTGGACGCCACGCAGGGATGCAAGACGCTTTTTGCGCGCGCAGTGGACGGTATCCTGGACGCTTTTCCGGCGCTGGACGCACACCGCTTTCTTGGACGCCTGGATGGATCTGGATGCGGGAACAAACGCCTTTTGCTGGAAGGTTCTGTTGCTGCAAGACATTGTTGCGCGTCCATCTGTTCCACGCATCCAGCGTCTAACCTGTTTGTTCTCAGCGTGTAACCAACCCCGTGACATAGCGTTAGTGTCCCCTAAGCTCTCGGTAGACGGTCGGAACGGTCGGAAGTCAGTGGGCGCGCAAACCCGTGAGATAGGGTTAATGCCCCCCCCCTAAGCTCTGTTTACGGTCGGAACGGTGGGCGCGGAGGCAGATTTGGCTTGCGCAGTTGGTCACGTGAGCTGGCGGATTTGGCGGATTTGGGTCACGTGACATTTCTGGCGGATGGATTTTTTGGTCACGTGACATTTTTTGTCGGACTTAGGGTTAGGGTTAGGGTTAGGGTTAGGGTTAGGGTTAGGGTTAGGGTTAGGGTTAGGGTTAGGGTTAGGGTTAGGGTTAGGGTTAGGGTTA